CTCTAGTATCTCGAATGTTTTTCATAAAAAACTATGAATATTGATTAATAAGTAAACAGAAGTGAAACTAATGTTTAAATCATAACTCCATACTATATCAGTCGATAGAGCTCGGGTTGGTGCTTGCGATCACAGTTTTTTAAGCTCTATCTCTGATGAAAATTTCGTGGAAAATTATTGAAGTTATGAGGGAGTATCGCACATCCAGGGACTTATGGCCAGTAGCGTATATTATTATTTATTCTTCATTGACCCGTATGTCAAAACTTTTCTAGACTAGTTTTGTACAATACGATTGTCAATGAGTGTAGAATGTTGTAACGAGAAGTGTTCGATATTTCAATTAAGATGTACTTTTCTGTGACTTCTTTCTATATAATAAAGATTTTCTTGTCATCAAATATGCATAGATATTATAGATGTGTCTAACCATAATTTTGGGTCACGATTACGAATGTTTTTAGATTTCGTTACAATCATTATTGATCGTTCCAAAATGACCTTAATCAAGGATCCATATGGTCAAAACTATCCACGTTTAGTCGATTAATCACGATTCTAAAAATGAAGAATGATTAATCGAGATTTTTTCTGTGAAATTTGAAAAAAAAAGTGCTAAGAAAATCTGAACTTTGCTAGGTATAGTCCATAAAATTTAAAAAAATGTCGTGAAGATCTTGTTTATAATAATATCAACATCACTATATTTCAACATCTTAATTGTGACAATGATTTTGCTGAGAGATATTGCTTTATTTCTTTATAGTCTACATGACTTTCTATAAAATAAGGCATTTTCTCATAAGTGAGTACAGTGTCTTCATCAATGAATTACATTGTTCACTGGTATACATGCATATATATTCAAATCTAAACATATTTATATATATAAAATATCATATTCTAAATTAAAAACTTCCTAAGAGAGCTATGGCTGACTGAAAGTTATTGATATTCACTTCACTCACACCTACATCTGATTGACTGAAACACAATATGAAGAAAGAATGTGATGAAGCAAACGGGCTTGAAATGATAAATTCTGGTGATTTAGCAAAATGAAAAGTAAGAGTGAACACATTCTGATTGCATTTTTTAATTGGTAAGTTGTTGTAAATGAGTATTATTTGTTGATAATGCTGTTGCTTTAGTTCTTTTGATCTTGTGTAATTTCAACTGGCATAGATTTATTTACATTTACGACTGAAGATTCTAGCTTTTTTTTAGCTAACTTATGGCTTTCATTAGTATTTTTCAATTGGAATCAAAGCCTTCAATGTTGTAATTAGAAAATTGATTTGTAGTGAAGATGAAAGCGGACGTCTTCTCTTCCTCACCTATTACCTGTATGATGAATTCGCTTAAAAAAAATTGCATAACTTTGTTTTATAATTATTTTAAATTATTGAGAAAAGAAATTTATTGAAAAAAAGCTCAGAAAAGAAAAAGTACATTCGCCAATTTATTGCAGCACATGAGCATTTCTTGAAATGCATAAAAAAAGCTTATTGAAATATAAAAAAAAGCGAAGTCTTAAAGTCCAAAACAAGCTTTAGCATAACTAATTTCATTTTTTAATTCAGATGAAACTTCATTTGAATCAAATAGATCAATAGTTGAAAGAAAATTTTCTGTTCGAAGTGCATAAAGAAATATTGTTGTTAAACCTCGTTCAATTTGACTTTTTATATCATTATCATCAATCATTGTTGAAAAACCACCAAATAAATACATTGTTCTACCTTGTGTTATAGTTAAATATTGTTCAATATTCATTTTTTCAAGTATTTGATAAAGTTTCCGATTAGTCTCTTTTTCAAATAATTCAACAAAAGGTCCTAAAGCACATTTAGTTGGTATTACATAAGCATGAACATGTGATCGAGTAACACGAGCACAAGGTTTTTTACATTCTGCATTGTCAGGTTTTAGAGAATCATTGATATTTTCAGGTATAAGTGATGGATATAATTCCAAAAGATTTATACAACTACACTCTTGAGTACATGTGGAATTCAATACAGCATTTAAACGAAATTTTTGCATTATATCAAATGTCCATTTTGTAATCAATTGTATAACAGCAGGTGATATTGATTGTAAAATAGTGATAATTATTGTTTCAATTGATGTAGTTAAATCAACAATTGAAAGAAGATTATTATCAATAAATAATAAAAGACTTTCTTCTGATGAACAAAGTAATTTATCAATGGATGAATTTTGTTCAGTAATTTCACTACAACTATTCATATTACATTGAACAGATGAATCATTTGGCCATTTCGTAATTAAATAAAAACCTCGAGATTTTCCTGTTGTTGAATCAATAGTACACATTGATTGCCAAAGTAATTCAATAGGTATCCAATGTGATGGATATTTAAATCTTGCAACATCAAGTATAAGTACAAGATCTTCTTGTGAATGATATCCAGCTATTGGTGAAAAATGGCCAGTACCTGTTTGTTGAAGTGTACTACGATTATAACTACATACAAGACGAATATCATCTAAACGACGTGTACAAGCAACAAGAATAGCTGAACGAAATTGTGCAAGTGTTGTATTTGAAGCAAGAAATGGAATTATTGAAGCACCATTACATTCAGCTAGATAAAGAAATTCTTCAAATGTAATTCCTTCTTCTATAACATTTTGTAATGGATTATCTATTGGTTTACGCTTATCACATGTACGTAGTGTATTTTCATCAAAAAAACGCCAACTACCTTTCCATATATGACCAGGATCAATATTTAAACTATTCAATACTTTAAATAAAGCGTATTAAAAAAACATGAAATTTATTTTTCACGTATACTAACCCATTGAAAGTGTTCCGGGACCACAATATGAAGGTTCGGCTTGAGTATGAAATGTTTCTGCCAAACTAAAATATCCATGTAAACCATCCGTAAGAAGTGATTCACGAAATAATCGTTTCCCTTTATCAGAATTGAAAGGTATAGCTACTTCAGGTAATGGACGACGATGCCAACCAGGTATACATCGTGTTGTTACATTACCATATGGATGTCCGAAAGTTGTAGAAGAACTGCAACTTTGTGAGGTTGTCATATGTTACTAGAAAAAAAATGCGCACAACAGAAAAACAAATGCATTTAAAATAAATAGAAGATAAACACTTGTCCTTAAATTCAAATTAGGAACCTTTTAATACTAGCAAAAACACGGTCAAGACTCTAGTGATTCATTGATATGTGTGAACTTTGGAGGAAACTACATATGAAAACATTTTTTTAAGATTCGCATTCTTGACATTCTAAGTCATAAAAGAGTCATAGACATTTTATTATAATGTTCTTTTGGGATTCAAGTTGTATTCTCGGGATCATCGTTGATGAGTGGCGACAAGACGTAATGATAGTTGTTTTGAACCAATAGGACCTTTTCATCGGAAATAGTTTGTTTATACTCTATTTGCGCTCTGACCGCGTACTATAGCCTATCGTGATATTGAGAGCCAGTTTTACTATACGAATGATTGGATGAATATATCTCTCCAACAGCATTCATCTTCGAACGAACATCCCATCCATATATGTTTCCTTTCTTATTGGGTCAATTCTATCCAATAAATCTTTGGTTATATAGTCTTCTTCTTATATTGTATGATTTTCGTTATTTCGGAAATGTCGTCTTTAGAGTTTCCTGATTTACTCTATCCAGAATATTTAAGTTGCAATGATCAACCACATGAAATCTTACTTGATCAATGGCCAATAACAACTATGGTTAACTAGTTTAGAATGGAATTTCTTAAAGATTAACAAAATCATTTTTGACATTTAGGATTTGACATTAGATAAAAAATTTTTTATGCAAAAAATATCTTCATCGCAACATGCGTCTGCTCTTCGAGCAACTGCACCACCATTTACATATTCAAGTAATAATTGAATTAATTCTTATAACCAAAATTATATTTATTAAATTTAGTTGCAACAGACGATTTAACTCATATGAATAAATATACATTGTCGACAGTAAATGCTGACGAGTATAATTTTCCTATTCACGAACATCTAACTAAATTTCATTTATAGAAATATAAAAATAATTCAACTCATCTTATTGCTAAACAAAATCATCTCATTTATGTTACGACAAAAAATCAATTGAGTAAAGAACACAAACGAAAAAAAAAAACGCTAATTATTTTCATGATTTTATTTCTTTTCGTTTTTCTCCTTTTTGATCGATAGATATACAATCATTACCGAATCATATTTATGATGATCTTTGGTCAAATACAGTTGAACATTTATCTACTACAGAACAACGAAGATATATTATACAAACATTAACTTCTATTAAATTATTAGATTGTACGGAAGAAAATGAACAAATATTAAATATTGCTCTTGCTAATCAGGTATTTCAAAAATTTTGTTAAATGAAAAAGTTTATTTTGTTATTCATAGAAAGGATTATCATTTTATTCATATAATCCAACAACAATAACCTCGACACTTACTTCACATATTGAAACGCCTGAACATACATCAATTCTTTCTCTTTCTTTTAATCCATACATTACATCAAATGCTATACTAATTGATAAAAACTATCGAACATATTTACTTGATGATGGTATATTTAGTTATCTTCATCAACACACAGATGAAAAAATACCTTCATTAGATATTCCTCGACGAATATATCTTGATTGGGATGCTTCACCATTTTTATATACAATGGCTGATAGTCATAATGGTTCTTGTCTTCTATTTGATATACGTTTACGTAATGAATCTTTTAAAGAACTTTTTATTATTGGTAATAATCATCCATATTTGGCTAAAACAGAAATTATTCGAGGTTATAAAACAAGTTCAATTAATCCATATCAACATATTTTTATTACTGATTATTCATTAATTATAATCGATTCACGAATGCCAAATAGACCTGTAAGAAGTAGATATAAATTAATAAAATATTCTATTTATTTATTTATTTTTGAAGGCTATACATTCTCGTCATGAATTGTTACGACCACCTACATCTTTTACACAAATAAAATCAAATAATCAACATTTTATTTTTATCAATGATGAATACAATACAAATGTACTTGAATATAATACTGATGTACATCGTCGTTTGATTCAAATGAGTCCTTCTTGGGAACTTTGTCCTATATCAAATAGTCGAATGTATTTATTAAATAATAATACTCACACAAATAAACAATTATTATTTGCTAAATCAATTTATTTTGATGTTCCAATACGGGATATGGTGACTGTGCCTAATCCAATGAATTTAAAATCTTTTCTTCTTTTTCAAGTAAAATCTCTTATTTTAATACTTGTATAAAACACAAACATCTAAAAAGCGAAATTTTTTGTTTTCAAATCAAAATATTCAATATGGATTCAGATTAGTGACCATTATAGATCCTTACACTTAAAACTCATTTTAATAACTAAAATATTCTCTTAACGATATATTTCCAATTCAACATCTATTGTTCTCTTTAGTGACTTATTCTGAAAACCAATAATGTTTTTCATAAACCAAGGTACTTATTCTATCACATGTCTAATAGCTCACAGATGAATAATTTGAGACAATTGACTCTTCATTTAATGTGTTTTCTTTGATATTAGCTAAGACTTTGCTGCTAAGTTTTATAATAAAAAGTAATAGTCCTAAATTCAAATTTATTCTTTTTTTTTTCTATACAATTAAAACAATCTTTTGTATTATTCATAGTTGAACAGTGCCGGTAATATACATGTACAACTTTTTGATGAATCTATTGATAAAAATGAAGAAAAAACTTGGAATCCTGATCCAGATGGTTTATTAAAACAACCACCTGATTGTTTTCAACAAGCAAATGATTATTGGTCAACAAAGTTTGTTTGGTTTTTTTTTTTTGCTAAATCTTTTTTCTTTTCTTAAAATTATTATTTCATTAGGTTTTTATCACTCTTTCAATGTCATAATTGTTTAACACATAATGTTGAACCGACAAATTTTACAATTGTAACACCATTACGTGCAATAACACAAACATCATTACGTAATTTTCCAACATTTAAAAATGATCATAAATCTACTAAAAACATAATACCTGGTAAATTTGAAAATGAGAAGAAAAAATTATATGTATATAAATATACTTTTTTTTTTTTTTTTTTACTTCATTTTAAGCTGAACTTTTCGAATGTCCAACATGTGCATGTATGCCAAATCTTAAAACACAGGGACAATTATCTCGCGCAAAAAATTGGATTCAAGGTATCAAGCAAATATAGAAAATTAACTTTTTTTTTATCTTCCAATTCGATTATTTCATAGATTTGAAATCACAATTGGATGATGTACAACAAGAATTAACTGTATGTTAGATTAAATAATTAGTTTATTTTATAATAAGTATTTCATTAAAAGGATACAACACAATCAACAACATATAATTGGCGACAGATATTTGATTATGATGAATTGAATGAAACAAATAAAGATTCAACATTATGGGATGAAATCCATCGATCATGGCTTCCATCACAAGACAATATTAAAGATGAACCATTTGAATCACCATTAGAATGATATATATATATTTTTTGAATTGATTGTTTGTTAATTTATTTTGTTTAATAAAAACTTTCTAAAGTATCAATTTGAGATTCTTCATTTTTCTAGCAAAAAGTAATAAATATCAATGATATTTTTCACTGTTGCCAGAATCTATATTAAAAATGTATTCGTCAAAATAACTATAATTTTGTTCCAAAAACCTATGGAACAAATCCTTGTAAGATTCTGTTAGTCTCACCAAGACATCCTTGTGTAGGCTCAATATGAGCTCAAACGGTGTGTATCACAATTGTCCTTCAAAGATGCTTTCATTTTTAATAAGTAAAATATTAAAGAATAATTCACTTTTAAATATAATAGACATTTCTTGACTAATAACTTTCTTACAAAATTCGCTAGAGAGAATAATTTTCAATAAGATGTTTTACTAAACTTTTTCTCAATAAAGATAGCTTGCTACATATAATCTACAGAATATAAATTAACAAATAGAATTTTCATTAAAACAAAGAAAAAACAAAACAAGAGTTTGATTTATAAATATTGAGTAATTCAATGAAAGATAATTTATTATAATAAATAGCAATCGAAATAAATTTGTTATGTGCTCAAGTCTTGATTGATTTTATCCTGATAATACAAAATTAAATGTTTAATATTCAAATGAGTCTTACATTTTCAGTCAATCAATGANTCTTTCAAAATTGAAAAATATCATTGATATTTATTACTTTTTGCTAGAAAAATGAAGAATCTCAAATTGATACTTTAGAAAGTTTTTATTAAACAAAATAAATTAACAAGAGTTTGATTTATAAATATTGAGTAATTCAATGAAAGATAATTTATTATAATAAATAGCAATCGAAATAAATTTGTTATGTGCTCAAGTCTTATTTTATCCTGATAATACAAAATTAAATGTTTAATATTCAAATGAGTCTTACATTTCAGTCAATCAATGATTGCTATATTATAAACTTATTCGAAAAAAAAAGAACACTCAATCAAAGAAATGAAATTTGCACAAATAAAAAAGCAACGAAAAAGGAACATACATAGTCGTCGAACATCATACCAATACACATATCAAACAACTAATATTATTACTTTATCAACAGATAAAAATTGAATAATCAAAATACAATTTCTAAACCCAATAAACTGTTCAAAATTACAAAAAAAAAAACAAAGAAATTTCTCATTTGAAACATGACAAAATACAAAATAACAAACTTTTTCAAAAGACAAATATATATGAAAAATGCAAATACTAGTAGTTAATATTTGTTCATCGATTGTTTTTATAAATAAACTGGATCATTTTGAATACGGTTATTGATGGTTACATCTAAAAGAAAAAAGTAATGAAAAAAATTTCAATACTATTTTTCTTAATTATATTTAAAAATTTACCTGATTCTTCTCTTATTTGAATAAAAGGTAAATTTGAATTAAGTGGAATAGCATGTTTGATTGAAAATTCATAACCATTCATATCAATAACTAAAATATCTAATTTTCGTTCTTGTTTACTTATTTCAATTATTTCATTTATTTTATTCATTATTAAATATTTTGTATCTTGACCATTTAATTCAAGTACAACATCACCTTCTTTTATATCATATACATCAGCTGATGAACCTTGTTCAATAGATTGAATATATAATAATTTATCACGTTTTAATGTAAAACCAAAATCATATTCGAAATTATATAATTTTAATTTACATAAACGTAGTTTCATTTGATCGATCTGAGGTGATTGATAATTAAATACTCTACTTTCTAAATAACCTCCACGTCGTTTTAATATTCGATAACCTGGACTTGTTAATACAACAAGTGTAACTTGACCATTTTCTTGAAATGTACGATGAATTATATCAATTACATCATTAAATGAATGAAAATTTTGAATATTTTCTGATTCAATATAGATTACATGATCACCTTCCGTTAAACCACTACAAACAAGAATTATGTAAAAATAAAATAACAAAATTTTAATACCTTCGTTTAGCTGGACTATTTGGAGATACTTCAACAACAATGGGTGTATCATAATTTTGTCGTTCAGTTAGTCGAAAACCACATCCACGAAAAGATGAATCTCGAAGTAGTACACATTGACCTAAAATAAATCAAATTTATCGAACATACTGTTTTTAGTTTTGATTTAAAATATTTTTTTTACGTTGCCATGGTTCCGTAGGTTCAATTAATCCATAACTAAGTTCATTTATAGCAGCCAATTGATCATGTTTACTCTGTTCATCATGATGATGTAATACCGATTGATATGTACTTACTGATGATGGTGGTTTTTGATCCTCACATATTGACTGGAAAGTCCTAGTTTGATAATGAATATCGTCATTTAAAGCGAATAACGATTGAGCTGAACGTGTTGTTAAAGGTTTTACGTTATATGGTGCAATAAGTAACCGTAAATCACCATTTTGATAGGCGTTTTGAACTAAACCATTCACAACTATAAAAAAAAAACCAATTAAAGAAAACGGTTTAACAAGAAATCCTTAAAACATTTTCTTTGCAATTTATTTTTTGATAGATAGTAATACATTCAAATGGTAAGCTGCAGGCAATCCAAACTTCAAGTAAAATTTTTTTTTTGCCTTTTTTTTACATCATTTGATAGAGCGAGAGCAGCTGATCATAAAAATCTGCTTTTTAGCCTTAGTAAATACTTCCTTTCTGTCGAAAAATACGAAATACTCGAAAGGGATCATTTTTCGAGAAACACACGCCTTTTCAGAAATGTGCAAAACCTTCTACTATGCTCTTTTTTCCAGGTTCAGCATAAAAAACTGAGCAGAAATAAGTTGTCAAATCAACTCTAGCCTCAAAACTCTATTGGTGGTGGCGCTTCAAATTGGGTTGAGTCCACTATATATGGGTGGATTTTGTAAACCTATCTAGTTTTTTCTACGTAAGTGATAGAGTCAAATATTTCATCTCATTCTGCTCATCACGCTATGGATCATTTTTTTCTTTTTCCTTTCCTATGTTGAGAAAAATCGTTTTACTGGTACCATAGCTATTTTAGATGGTATTCGTCGATTTTCGAATTCAAATAAGACTTTTTGTCAACAAATAAATACAGATTCTGAATCAGTACAAAAAACTGAGTCAAATGAAGTATTTTTCAAGCTAATTTGACAACTTTCAATTTTTGACACATGTGCAAAAATTTCAGTCCTCCGACGATACCTGAAAAAATGAGAAAAATTGAAAGTTATCAAATTAACTTGAAAGATACTTCATTTGACTCAGTTTTTTATGCTGATTTAGAATTTCTATTTAGTTTTTGATAAAAATTCTTATTTGAATTCGAAAATTGACGAATACTATCTAAAATAGCTATGGTACCAGTAAAACAATTTTTCTCAACATAGGAAAGGAAAAAGAAAAAAATGATCCATAGCGTGATGAGGGGTGGGATGATGAGTAGAATGAGATGAAATATTTGACTCTATCACTTACGTAGAAAAACTAGGTAGGTTTACAAAATCCACCCATATATAGTGGACTCAACCCAATTTGAAGCGCCACCACCAATAGAGTTTTGAGCCTAGAGTTGATTTAACAACTTATTTCTGCTCAGTTTTTGATGCTCAATCTGAAAAAATTATTTTCAGAAGCAAAAAAAAGAATAAAATAGAAAATTTTGCACATTTCGAGAAANGTTATACCATATCTAGATGATTCATGAGAAGGTGGTTGTGTAATAGTTTTAACTAGTTTTGGAGTATCATCTAAATATATAAAATATATTTGAAAAAGAAAAAGAAAAAAATCATAAAAATACCTTCGGACGCCGAAGAAATTGTTAATAAAGATCGATCAGTTTTATTTTTTGATAGATTTTTTACACTTTGAAGTTTACTATGTATAGGTTTGTTTTTTTCTTTATAATTATTAAATGTTTCAGCATCGGCAACTAACATTTGTAATGATTGAGGATATCTAATATCATTTATACGTTGTTTTAGTTCAGCATATGTAAGATTTTGAATATTTTCACCATTTATTTCAATTAAACGATCTTCAGATTTAATACCAGCAAGTGCAGCATCTATATAATATATACAAATAAATTAGCGATATAGACCGGTGTTCAAGAGTCGAGAAATGAGGAATGTGAAAAATGTCTGATAATAGAAATGAAAAGCATAGCGACGAACATAATCATTTACTTAGGTTCTATCCACCTCAAAAATCGATCTTAGGTTAGGCATAATCGAACCACATGAAACATGTTAAAGCTGTAATAGAAAGCCTATGTTAAAAATTTTCAGCCTAATACCATGACGTTTTTAGGAGATATTCAACAAACAGAAATCAAAACTAGCTCATTTGGTAAAGAAAAATTCTCTGTAGATCTTCATTCTATATAGTTAATGGTGTTTTTTGTTTGAAAGAGGTCTTTGTTTTAATTCGTATTTTTGAATGGAAGAAAAATTCAATGTCTTGGCACTCTAATTATAAAAGTACTCTTTTATATAATATTAATAGGACTTAATTCAAAAAAGGACACTGTCATGCTCTTTTAAAAACATTAAATGTATAGAATGAAGATTTATAGAGTTCTGAATAGCATGATCAAAAAAACATTACGAGCGAAAAACATGAAAACTATATTTTGCTTTGTCTGAAAATTTGACATTTGTAAAGCAGATGATGACAGAAATCATCAAAAATTTTGACAAAAAAAAAGGTGCTAAATAAACAAAAATATCATTTATGAAAAATCATACTTTGACTTATCTTTCTATGAATTTATGTTCATTTTGATGTTTTTCACGAAAATTGGCTTTTTTATTAGTGAAGTGGTGAGAAGGAATCTTCCGTGATGATTAGAGAAATATAATCTTCGGTAAAAGTTTCGTATCTCAATGCTTATTCCTCTTCGCTCTTTTATATTTCAATAATCTCAATCATCTTGGATGTCTTTTATATGCATGAAAAGACCGTTCATAGTAGATTTGTATTTTTGTGAGAAAAATTTGATTGATTAGAAAATAAAATTCTTACTTGATTGTCGATTATTAGGACCCGATAATATATTTATTGAACAATAATGACCATCGTCATTATAATTAAAGCTAAAACCCCATTTATCTTGTTCATTAGAACGAGTGATAGTACATAAACGGATATCATCTGAATGTTGTTTTTGCTCATCGACATTGTCTGATATGTTTGATTGTTGATTAGAATGTGGGGTTAATGCAGTAGGTAACGGTTCTATTGAACTATCATCTGCATCATTGTTTTCAGAAGAATCTGAATAAAATATTTCGATTGTTCAGAAAATGACAAAAAAACTTCGTTTTTTTCTTACTATTTTCTGCATCCTCATACGAAGGTATTTGTTTATTTTTCGCAAATGAACTTTTTTGAAACTTTTTTGATTGTAATGGTATATTGTTTTCTTGAAAATATGCATATGTATGTGTATCAACAACGTATAATTTCACGGAACGTTTTGATTTTGCTTTAATTACTTTTTCTTCTATAGTTTTGCTTCGATCTTCATCAACAAATTTATCATTAATTTCAAGTATTCGATCACTTTTACGTAATGCTGTTTTACTAGCTGGTGAATTCGGAGCTATGTCTTGAATAAATGCGCCAATATCACTTTTACCGGGAGCAATATTAAAACCAAATGCTTGATCATTTGCAGTTAAACGTATATCACATGTACGTGGTGTATGTTTAGGAAAATTCATGTAATCACGTGGCATTTTTTTTGGTGTGTCTATTATTTTAGCGAATCTAGGACTAAATGAGACGTTGTCTTCTTTTAATATATCATAATAACGTTTTTCAATAACAAGTAATTCAAGGTAATCATTACTATCTCGCGCATTGCTTATAGCAGTTGCTAATTCATTATATTCACTCTTAGATACATCGTTATCATTAACAGCAAGAACAACATCACGAATTTTGAGGTCAGCAGCACTTGCTGGACTATTTGAGTCAACAGTTTGAACAAGATGTGGAGGTTCTGGCGAACGCTCAAGACTGAAGCCAAATCCACGATAATTAGACCATTTACAAATTCGACAAAGACGAAAATTGGCTTTACGCAAACGAGCTTCATCATTTGAGTTCGACATGATAATGCTTATCAATTTACTTTTTAATTAAGTTCAAATATGAGTATCTAGAAACTAAACTACCTAAAAGATTTATATCAACATATAGATTTTTCTCAGGAACACATATTCATTAGTATTTATTCATCTGTAGTCTATGTGTATAGTTCAATGAGGAAAAAATCGTAAATTAGATACTTTAGCCTATCTCTAGATGTTTTTAGATATTTCAAGGCTACTATGAAAATGTCTCATGAGTCTATTAGTTGAAGTTCATTTTATATAAGTTTGTCTGATAATAAATCCCAAATACTTCATTGTACTTGAAGATTTGAGTATCAATGAAGTACAATAAAGAATTTGGGCTTTATTACCAGACAGATTTATATAAAATGAACTGCAACTAATATGCTCGTGACACATTCTAGTAGGAGACATGAAGTAGCTTAAAAATTTAAGAGGATAGCTTTGATCTACTCTTGAACTATACTGAAGTACAGTGAAGTGCGAAATTGTCGTTTTTTTCTCCTTGTTATAGTTACAACTGACAACGAAATAATATGTCTTTTTTTGTCTCTCTATTAATCGTTTTTTAACCACCAAGTTTCTTTTTCTTCTCTGACTATCCTATCTATAAAACAAACGTGCTTGATAAGCATCACACATACGCATACACATACTCGTATTCAAGAGCATATTTTAAATAAGAGACACATAGAGAAGAAAGAACATCTCTATGTATGTTTACCTTTTGAGAGTGAAGAACAATGAAATATTTCATTCTTTTCTCAGTATAAAAGTATGCAAGTTATGGCATGAAAGAAAATGGAAACAATCTTTCTTTTTTTTTTCCATTATACATATCAATATTGACAATTACAACAAGCAGATATATTTTAATGAGATTGAAATTTTACTTCATTATATACATACATCATGCGTATGTCATTCATGTTTTCTTTTTTATATACAAAAGCAGATCATTAATGTCTATCTAATGATTAACTCAGTATGTAAAGAAAATATTAATTGAAAAAATACGATATATCGTTATTCATATAACGAAAATAAATCAGAATTGAACATACTAGTAATTTTACTTACAAGCTTCATGCATATTTGTCTACATCTTTTTCACTAAGGTTTTGTTTAAGTCGACTAAAGGTTCGTCCTTCATCATCCATTTATTCATAGATAAGATAACACAACATAAAAAGTAAAGATGCTGATAATGGCAATGAAAAAGAGAACACAATCTCATGATCTTCTATTTCCAATAGAAGCAACTTTAGAAAAAAAAAGGCAGAAGATCTATTTTCATATATGAATATCAATATCAATGACTAAATCTTTGTAATATGTTACTAACAGTTGGTTTCTTTTCTTGTCAAAACTTTTTCGTCATAAAAATGACTCTACTCAGGTATTTGGCCAAGAGAAAAAAGTAGGAGATAGAAAGAAATTTTTTGAGAGCTGAAAAGATGCACGTACAATTTTTTTTGAAAGTGGAAAATGTTGAAATTTCATTTTTTTTTCTATATGAAAAATACGATTTTAGATGGAAAAAACTAAAATTTTTCTAAAAGTACAAAGCAATGCGCACTCTGCATAACTACATTCCTGACTAAAATAGTATTATTATGACTATTATTGACTACTAGTTACCACTAGATATAATATCTATGATGCTAAACAACTTCATATCTATTAAAGACAGTTAACTGATATTGATTCGAATACCATAAAGAATCAAGTAAATTATACAAGACTATTTAAAAAGAACAAAGAAAAATCTTTGTGGTTAAGCCTATTGTATTTCTGTCATGAAATATGTTACTCATCATAGTTTTACATCACCTATAATCAGTATATTTCTTTGTTTCTTTCTACATTTCACTCAACAACAATCTATGAATATTACGAATTCTTATAAGTATACAAATAAACACGTGATTTCATATGATTAAGAATAACGAACTGAAGAAAAAAAAAGACGAAAGCTAATCTGAAATGATTGATCTTTAGTAATAAACTTACAATGGAACCTTTTGTATTGTCCATCAAGAAGATTGACCATATTTGGATCAAATGGAAGCTCTCATCGCCAAACTAATAAATTTAAAATATTACGCTCCCATAGTGTACCTAGAGCAAGTTATTTAAATTTTAAGATATGCGAAATTTAGATATGAACAGAAATTGAGAAAGGTTTTCTCCACTATTGTAAGAACAAAATATGATGTTGTTCGGGCCAATAAAAGGGGTTTGGAGGGACTCTCTTTCATATGATCCGAACAACACCATGTTTTATCCTTAAAATAGTGGAAAAAACCTTTGCTGAGTCATTTTTATATCTAAATTTTACATACCTTAAAATTTAAATAACTTGCTGTAGATACACTATTAGAGCGTAATATTTTAAATTTATTAGCTTGGCAATGAGAGCTTCCATTTGATTCGAATATGGTCAATCTTCTTAACGAACAGTACAAAAGGGTTCATTCGTTTTTCTCCTTTACAACCATGACAAAATGCGAAAAGAAAGAGTTGTTGATCCGATAAACTAAAATAAAACTGTAAGAGGCCTGCTACAATAATTGTAGATGTTGACTTTATTGTAAATATACAATATTGTATTTTAATTGTCACACTCTCGATTAAAAAGTCTATCGAAAAAGATTACTATACTTGTTGTATATATGCTGTTTGATATATTACTAAGCTCATACTACAATACTTGATCATTTCTTATGATATTATTAACATAACCTGTGTAGAGATATGTTTTCAAACCATACATAAGAAACAAAAGAAATTAAAAATATTGAGTGTTCTGTTTGTTTTTTCTTCTTCGCATGTATTTAACATTATATAATCAAATATTTGAGTTTTGTTCTGTTAAAAAATAGACAATAAACTTGATTTTCATTTGATAAATTAATGTTAGATTATTTAAAACATAAAAATATACATACGACTATTATTGATGTAACGTTTCATTTTAAGTACAAACCTATTCATATTTATGTATATATAGTTTGTCAATAAATAATGTGCGATAAACGAATAATTGTTTATGGAGGGTCATAAATTATAATTTTCAACTTATCGACATTAAACACATCAAGTAGAGATTAGTGTTTCATATTTTAGTGTCAAATGTACTGATACAGATACAAAAGTAATACTCAAGTAATACATATTTTTTTCATTTGTAATTAATATTGATGATTAATCAAAGAATGATGTTGTATTGATTTTTCAAAAATCTTTTTTATTCAAAAAGTTAAGTAGTACAAAATTTCATTACTAGAGAATCATCTAAACTGATAACCACCATGTAAACTCATATTGGACTTAGAAGGATGATTTAGAGAGACTAGCAAAAATCTAAAAAGTTCATCCTCATGGATCTTTTGAACCGAGCTAGAATCGTTTTACTGATTCTTCGACAGCTTTATATACATACCGAAAAATCAAATAACGGAATTTCGATCTGAAGTTTTGTTTTCTTTTTGTTGTATTATCAAATTTTCGCGTAAGCTCAATCTTTTGTTATATAATTTCGACAAACGATTATTTTTTTTGGAAATTCGACATTTCAACAAATGAACATTCTTTTCGTCTGAAATATTTAAACTCGGTTTCAAAGGTCTGTAGTGACAAACTCTTTTAGACTTTTTCTAGTCTTCTTCTTGTAAGCCCGCCATTAGCCCAAGCGATCAATATCAGTTCAGTATGGTTCCCTTTTTATTAAAGTTTTTCTTTTTTAATCAAACATATGATAAATCTTCATTGAATAAGAAAAGAAATAATTATTTTAGTCAAATCGAATATTTCGTTGAAGAAATAAATCTTTTAAAATAGTATCCAATTGAGTATTATGTCCGAATAATTGACGTGCTACTTTTGATGACCATTGAAAATATTCTTCAACACGTTCTTCGGACCAACCAACAGGTATAGCACGATTTAAATCACGTAGATTATATATTTTATCGGCAAGACGAACAATAATAGCATCCAAAGTTAATTGACCAGCATTGGCAATTTGTAAACGTTTACGTTCAGCTTTTGGTAAACTTTTGTCATCCGTTAATTCAGCTACGATACCTATTATACATAGTTCAACTATACGTAATAAATACAATTTGTAATAAATTAAAAGGTACCTATCTTATAGAAACTTGGTTAAAAGAATGTATCTTTTTTTGAAATGAAGTATCGATTTCTCCTTGAATAATTTTTTTAATATTTATAATTAAAACCAGTAAAAGTATTTAGCTAATAACTATAGTAGTTGCATTAAACTATGAAAATATCGCCAACACGAAATCTCTTACGACATAAAAGTTCACCTTTTTTTTGTAAAGCTTCTCAATAAAAAATTTAGATGTAAAAAAAAATAAAGCAAAAATCAACTGAACATTATTATAAGAAAGAAAAATGCTTCAAATTAAATGCCTATAAACATTGTTTGCTTCTATTCTATCATAAGACATGTTAATATTAATTGATCATGTTGTCAAAAGGACTTCCTCATATTAACTAAACATTTCTTCCTCAATAAAAAAAAAAAATATCTTCTCCGATTGAATTATCAAGTTCTTATTATTAGAGACCATTCATGAAATATTCCAGCAAGAAAAATAAATAAATACCAGCAATATGAGGTCCAAATTCTTGTTGAAGTTCATCAAATGTTGTTTCTGTATCTTCAATTGTATCATGCAAAAGTGCTGCCTGAAAGATATAATCATGTTATCGAAGCATATCTCGATTTAAAATCACCTACAGCAAGTAAATCAAAATCTTTAATACCAGCTTCATTGCTCAAAATATGTGCAACACCTATCGGATGATTTATATAAGGTGTTCCATCTTGATCTTTTCGTTTCTGAAATCGATGTTTATAAGCAGCAAATTGAAGTGCATGCATAAATTTTTCCATATCTATTGAAAGAATATTCAATTGTTTTCTATTATCACATTAATTAGCAAAAGATTACGGTATGATGGAAAAAGGCAGAAAAGAAAAATATCGAAAGTAAAAAATGTCGAAAATGAAAATATCGAAAGCGATAGATGTAAGTGACGGTGCAGATGTAAGAGTGAGGGTGAGAGCGGGAAAGATTCTCTTTCGATCTACTTTCATTTTAATTGCTTTTAGCTTTCGACATTTGTATGATTTCTATTTTCGACATTTTGATTTTCTACATTTTTTATGTTCGATATTTTTCTTTTCTGCCTTTTTCCATCCATTCAAGATTACACAACACACAAATAAAATGAATCCTTTCTTTTTTGCTTTTTTCTATTTATTAAATCAAAAATATATATATTTATATTATCTAGTCAATGTACACAAAATATAAAAAGAAAAGCGAATAAATTAATACACATGCCAATATCACCAATAAAATAAGGAAATAATTAATTAAAAAGATATTGTGTAGCCAAAAGACAGAGTTTGAAGATCAATCAAAAATTAATAAATAATCTTCATGTATATATTGATTGTAGCAAAATTTTTACGACATTAATTTTGTTTTACAAGAAACTCTGTTAAATATTCATCATTCTTTTTTCAAAAGATGCATCATTAAATATTCTACTCGAATCTATACAATTATTTTTGAATTTTAACATTGAACACATGTATCATCATGTTCTTTCCTACATGGACCGATCAGAGAAAGTTGAAAATTGTTAAATTTTAGTTTTCATAATTATTGCACATTCATTTCGACTGCAAATATTTGGAACCAATCATATAATTAGTGTGACATACAAAGTATGAGAATTATTAATCGTTTACATATCTCAAATAGAAGTGAAAAATAATACCAGTGTCAATTGATCTTGATACTGTTATCCTGAAAGAAAATGTTTTGTTTTATTGTATTGCCCTCAAATATATTGTCTCTTAGTAGTCTATTAATATAGTTATAAAAATTTGGTCATGTGAGGTGAGTAGAATGTTCAATGGCGCATATTTAAAAAAAAAATGCTTAAGAATTAACGGAGTTACATGCGAAACAAATAAATATTGTAAAACTTTTGCTACCTTCGACATACGATAAAGTTTTATCGTTCTTCATCTAATGTTTTTTCAGGAAGTTCTGTTATTGTATTTATTGAATATTGCGTCACTTTACCAAAACCAACATGTAATTTTTTATTATTTCCAAATGTACTATTATTACTATCAACAGAATGAACACTAAATCGATTTGTTGATACTAATAATGTAAATAAGAAATTATTAGATGAAGTATTAAAAATAGATAACCTACCGTAAGGAATATGTTTTGGTGATGAACTAAGTTTATCATCATTGACAAGTATATTTTTGCTATTATCACAGTCAAATGAAGTTGGTGTATAATATTTTGTTGTTGAATCAGTAATTTTACCAATAAAATCATCGAGAATTCTATAATTTAAATTTGTATTTAATGTTTCTAATGGAGCAACGACAGCAGTTTCTGAACATATCACTAAAATAAATCGTTTCATTTACATAACATTCGATACTAAAAGATATCAATTCTGCAAATTTCTGAATTCAACAGGCCCTGTTCGATACTGAATGATGTTTAATTTGTTTTCACATGGTAAAAGCATTATTGAATTGCGAAATAATGAAGAAGTGACAATCAGATATGTGTATGGTAAGCTGTTTTCGTATTCTGACTGAGAAAAATTGTCTAACTGATGCCCTACTTTCAGGACAGTAGGAAAAGTTCGGGTAACCCTGCACATCTCTAGTATTAAAATTCATCATTAAGCCCTCCCCCCCCCCCTCATAAAATGTCAGTTTTCGTTGGAATGGTCAAAGCTGAGATAAATACATGGGAAGATAGCCCGGCATCTGCTCTTTCATAAACGATAATTTTTTTTTCTCGTTACTTCATTTTTCCCAAAAAAATTTTCAAGATTTCCGTCAACCCCTATTCGAAAAACCAGCTGTTTTTTGAAAAATCAAAAAATGTTTTTCGTCTTTTCTCAGTTTCCGCTTTCTCAAAAGCGCATCCCAAATTTCTCGTTCCTGGTTCGTTCAATGCATTAATATTTTTTTTTTGTTTAAAAGACCGTCTCAAGGTGCAGGGCATGATGGGGCCATTTTTTTTAATTAAGCCTTTAGTTGGTCAATATACAGCCAGTTATATGATTTGGTTACCATTTTTTGACACTTTTTTCAGTAATTGAACTTGCGATCTCTTTTTTGCGCTTAAAAAGGAACTATTTCAAAAAAATGGTCCCATCATGCCCTGCATCTTGAGATGCTCTTTCCAACAACAAAAAAATATTAATATATTGAACGAACCAGGACCGAAAATTTTGGGATGCCAAATGAGTCATTTTTGACCCTTGTTTGGTTCATATCTCCCTAAAATCTGCAGATTTCGGGCCAAAAATTTTATGGTAGTCTCCCCTCTCCAGCCCCAACATATTCTGAAAGTTTCATGCAATTTGGATGTTCCTGGGTTGAGATAGCTTTTTGAGGGGGGGGGGGGGCTTAAGGCATTTCAATGACTGTCATGCATTACTTTTTCTTAAACATTGTTCAATAGGCATGTAACAGAATGAGAAATCTCAAGAGAATTTGATTAAAACTCATCATGATTGAAGAAGATTTTGTTAATAGACATCCTCCGAGATTCCAGTGATTATCATATTGCATTAGAAATAATTCTTGATAAGTAATAAGAAGATGACACAAAATTCTTGTCAAAGATAAACTTTAAAAAAAGAATGTTGTGTAACAACTGAGTATGATAGTTATCGTATAGATACATTAATAGTTTACATTTGTAATATCTTTTTGAAACTCATTTATGTTTAAATCTTTCATCAGTGACTGCTATACTAGCCTAATGAAAATAAACATGCATAGATTAAAATTATCAATCTTTATTCGACATATATTTCTTAGTATATTATTTCTTTTCTCGTCTTTTTCATAAACTTGTGATATATATATATCCTTTTTTTTCTCAATTACTAATTACACTCATAGATTTCAATAAAATCATCATATTAAATGAATAGACTTTTCGAGATTCTCCTGTATTCAAAATAATCTATTTACAAAACAATAATATCATAAATAAAACATGCATTGGTAAATTCAAAGTATACATACATCCTGCTTGTTTACGTTCAAGTAACGTATTAAGATCGGGTGTTGATTTTGCACCGGTAATTACTTTTGTACTAAAAATACTTGTTAGTGGAACATAATTAGCTAGAATAATATCAGAAATGAAATATATTGAATTTTAAATAAATGAACAAAAAAATCACAATAGCATACACATATGTCTGTCGGCTGAAGCACCATGAACTGTATTGTAATAATTATGGGATAATGTTGTTTCTAAAATATTTATAAAAATAAAAAAATATTTATTTAATACAATATATTTCATATTATAATCAATTAAATTTGAATAGTCAAACTAATAAGCAATGTTTCTATGAATGAGCAAAAAATAATCATTAATTTAAGTGATTAATACAAATAGATAGATATATATGTGTGTATAAGTTGTCAAATGCGTAGATATATATAAACAATAATATGAGTATGAAATCTAGGTGAATAACACAACTTAATCTCTATAAACTCACGAACGTGTTCTAGTATTGTACCCGAATTTCGCCGAAAAATATCTGGACTAGGTGATAACCTCGCTTGTAATCTTGTTGAATAAAAACCAGACATTGCATTGGATTTTCGGGGAAATTTCATAGAGAATGAATCAAGTGATTCAGTTTGATGTGATGTTATGTCTAGAAGAAGGAATATTAAGCAACAAACCCGTGGTTAGCAAATAGGTTATGCTCAACAAAACACGAGAAGATAGAAGAAGTAAGGATGAACAACCCAGTATATGACTATATTAATTATCTCCCACCTAAGAGACGACGATAGAAAATTTTTCCTTTTGAAAATAACAAAAAAATATATGTGCCATATAACAATAGAAATATATTAACCTAATTAGATAAACTTACGCTGTAAATCTGATTCATCATCTTCAAGAGATTTGGGTTTTAAAAGACATTTATTATTATTATTATCAGAACCTGTAAAAGAATATTTAGTATTCATTTTGTTAATGTTCAAAGAAAGAAAAATATTGATAAAACATACGTTCAGTTGCATTGGTATTAAGATCATCAGAATTAGTTTGTTCTGATGATCGACTTGTTGCCATTCCATTATTACTTCGATAAATTGTTTTCGATGAAAATGATCGTTGTTTAACGACTTTTTGACGTAATTTATCGGATTGTGTTAATGGTTTCGTATTATCAATTGTAATTAAAGTCGATCCTGGAACTAGTTTAGCTGCTGCTGCTGTTGTTGTGTCTACTTGAGATTGTAGTACTGATGATGAAATACTTGGTTCTACTGATGTTGGTGGTGTCGGTGGTGAAACTGATACAGGTATTTCAACTTGATGTCTTGGTGGACTATGAGCTGCTTGTCGATTACTTTTTGGTAAAACAGTACGAATATGGTTAACATTTGAACTAACTAAATCGATCTATGGAAAATAATTTTTCAATCAAATAATTAAAGTTACTAAATATATAATTTACTTCTGGTAATATATCAAAACATCCATAAGCTCCAGGTGAAAAATGTAATTCAACATGAAAACGTCGTTCAGAATCTTCTTCTTCACTTGAATCTTCATATAACATAATAACAATTTGTGTTAAATAATTTAATTCTGAAACAGTATCTAAATATTCCATTGAACGTTTCCATTGTTCATCATTTGATATCTAAAAATAAGAAATAATTTTTTTTTATTTATTTAAATATATTAAATCAAATATTCTTTACATTTAATAAACTGCCATAACGAATAACTGTAAGAAGTGAATGAACATGTGATTCACTAGTAAAATATAATCGTGTACGAACATGTCGACCAGGAGTTTGAATACCTTTTGAATAACTATAATAAGTAAAAAAGAAAAAAACTTCTATGTATTTATTTAGTAATAGAAAAATGAAATAAATGAATATCAAATACTGCACATATTTTCATGCAATTGGCAATGTAAATTCTTTTCAAATTTATTTTTTTTTTTATCTTTAAATACAAATACAATCAATTTCTTTATCAGTCATAGTCAGCAGAAGAATATAAATCTAAAGCATTAAGAAAAAGAATGCCGCGTTGACTAAATAATACCTGATTAAATCTGAATCGACTTGATTCAAATACCTATGATATGATAATTTAATGAAGATTTTTTTTAAATTATTATTTAGTTTTATATTTGGTATAGTTTTTCAATAATGAAATTTAATATTTTACCTTGGATCTAATTTATTAACATGTTCATCATGAGTAATTACACCCGTTAAATTACATTGAAGATCTATAAGCATAAAAAGTATTGTTTGAAATAAAATATTTCTTTCAATTTTCTATCTGTCATGAATATGAATTCTTTTGATATGAGTCTAAGAATAATTTGAAGATTTCTACTTACCGGCTCGAATTTTTCGAAGTAATGGTGTAACAATGCCACGAGCTATGCTTAGTTTTTCTTCAACTGTCATACCATATTCCTGAAATATTTATTTACAAAAAATGAAAGTTTGAAATATTGAATTTCTCTTACTTGAGGTACAACAATATCAGCTAATGCTTTTGAACATACGTATAAATCTTCAGCATATGGAAATTGAAGAATATCTTTATTATGAAGTAAATCATATTTTATTGAATCATATATATCAGGTACTTTTGATATATTGAATTTATCTTTGCGTGCATCATAAAAATCTTTTCCTAATTTTAACCCTTAAAAAAAATTAAATTATATTAACAAAAAAAAAAAGACTGATTATTAATAAACATACATCGTCTCAAACATAATTCCAATGTTTCCGACTGAAATAGTCTGTCTAAAATGTGAGAAAATATTTGCATTTGATATTACAAAACAAATGAAAAATGAAATATTAAAATTTGAATTCACCAGTTCTTCATCCTAGGATCAATGCTAAGAAAGATATTTTTTGATTCAATTTTTCTATCATCAATGATAAAGCTTTATTTCCTACAAATATTATATATACCTGAACTATCTTTAAGTAAACGTGTTCGAATAAGTACAATCATTTCATGAATATATTCATATATCTTTCGACATATCGTAACAGGATTTTTAATGAAATCCATTGATGACACTAAAGCACGAGAACGAGTTGGTGCAATCTATTAATAATAAAAACAAAATTTAATCAATCTTCTTTTATTTTCTTTTACTAACTATATCATAATCTTCTTGTGTAAATTGTCGATCTTTTGCTAAAAGATCATGTAATGTTTGCTTGACTTTATGTTGTTCTTTCGTTGAATCAACATCATTATCAAGTAAACCATTTGTATTTGCACTTTTAACCATTTGTACAAGTATTGGTGCTAATTCACCATCAAGTGCTAATAATCCTTTAGCAAAAGCAGCAGCTGTCATTTGTACACGACCTTCATCTGATGCATAAATTTTTAAATCATGTCGAAATGTGGAATGTAAACGAAGAAGACCAACATCAGGACGATCACCACCAGCACCTTGACCACCGGGATACATTTTTCGAAATGCCTGATAGAATTAAATTCAATAAATTAAATTTAAAACCAAAAAAAAATGAAAAAAAAAACAAGTTTTTACTTTGCCAAGTGCTTCAGCTTGATTTTTGCCTGTTTGCGTTAATTGTCCACCCCATTTAACTATTAAGAGTAAAGATGGTTGTGATGGTACATTATTAGGTTCTGAATAGACAAGATTAACAAAATAAAAAAGTCGTTTTTTTTTTTCTTATCAAGAATAAAAAATCTTTATCATTTACCATCTTCACTACTGGTTTTTTTTGGTGGACCTTTCGGTAAATATTTTAATTGAATCTTTCGATTAATACCAGAAAAATGTCCATATAATTCTAATACTTGTTTAAGTTGAAGTAATTTTCCTCTTGTTTCAGGTGAATTAGGAAATCGCTAAAAACAAATATATATACATATATTTTTTTTTTAATTAAAAGAAAGTATATTTTTAAGTTTACATTTATTCGATTATCATCAAGTTCTTTGAGTAATATTCGAGCTATATCAAGAACTTCCTATAAATAATAAATTGAATTAAAAAAAAAACTAGCAAACAAATATAAACAAACTTGAAGTTGACCAGGATGTTTTAATTTCAGATGACCTGTTTTTGGACCATTATATTTTTCGAATAATTGAAAAAATCTTTTAATAACGCATAAAAATCAAAATCAATGATGAATATTTTTATATTAGCAGACATAAGTTAAGAGCGACTGTGCTTCGGAGTTTTCTTCTCGATGGTAATAGGTAGCAACAGTCTGAAAAACTACTTGAGCAGCTAAAATAATTCTATATCAGATCTCGTGGATTTAAAAGCTATAGCAACACTGCTTGGATGAGAATGTCTGGAAACCCAAGACTGACAAAACCAGTTTTCTGTTCCTTCACCAAACTGTATTCAATTTATAGAAGGTGCAAAAGCAGCTAACACGGTCAAATTATTGAAATTTTTCATAAAAACCAAACAAAAATACTTATTGGGTCCTCTATAGATTGAATGTAATTCGATGATGAAATGTCATAGAGAGAGGTGAGATATCTCGTTTTGCTCAGAGTTATATGCTCTATCAAATAAAACCATTTCAAAAAAACTTCAAATGGATGGCAGAAAACTGATTTTTATAAATCTTGACTTTCCAAACATCCTCATTCAAGCAATGTTGTTGGAGTTTTTAAATCCATCAATCCTGATAGAAAAATTTTCCAGCTTTTTTAAACTATTTTCTCAGAAACTTCCTAGCTATTATCATCGGAAACAAAACTCAAAAATACAGTCGCTCTAAACTTCAGTCCGTCACTATATATCTTACAATGGATGAAGAACAGCCATTTTCATTTTTTGCTTTGGAGTTCGATCACCATGTCGAATAACAGCAATAACACAACGAAGTTCCATTCTTGTACCCAATGCAGTCGGTACAAAAGGGGGATCATCAGGTTGATAAGTTATTGGATATGGAATAGAAAATGTTGGTGCAAGTTCACGCAGTATCATATGTCTTGAAAATTAGAAAACAAGATTTTTTTTTTTTTTATTTTTTAAATTATTGTGAAAAATACCCCAGAATCGATGCGCAATCATCATAATATTTAGTACTATTTTTTACAAAACTAAAACCATTTACATCGCATACAAATGATTTTCCTTCAGCACGAAGTAAATCAAAACCACATACAGCTTGCTGAAAAGAAATAATAAATGTTCTTTTTTTTTTTGTATTTATTTTCTTAATTAGTTAATATACTTTAAATGCCAAACATATTTTCATAGCAATTAATTTTTCATCAGCACGTAATATAACTGGATAACGTACTTCCTTACCAAATTCATCTCGTTCAACTTTACCATCGAGTCCTGGTGATTTTCTTGCTTCAGCATGGGCATATTCAGCACCCACTGTATATACCTACAAGAAAAATAATTATCCATTTTAAGAAATAATAAATTAACCAAATATATACTTTAACATCTGTACCATCTGTTGGCATAAATTCTTCATAAATATACGAACCATCTTTACGAACACTATTCTCTGATGTATATACACTACTTCGACTACCAATCTAAAGAAAATATTTTCAGAAAGTTTACAATTCTATTCAAGAAAAATTTTTAAAAAATAAATGAAGAAGTAGCGAAAAAGACAAATAAAACCATTAACAGCACCAATCGACAGCAAATAATAGAATAATAAATTAATTTATTCTCAAATTGCACTGTATATTGATCCATCGGAATTATACCAATAAATATTGTCTGTTCAACAAATTTATCCTAGGCTTCTCAAAGAATACTTTATAAATAAATGATTTGAGTCTATTTAAATTTGAATGAATATAATTCGATATAATAGTGTAAAATTTGGAAATAGGAATTCTGAACCATAAAATAAATGCAACGGTCAGTTATTAAGTAATTGAGCTTGTTAAAAGATTTCAACAATCAGTGAATACAATTCATTAGCAGTGGACTATATTAAAGAATCATTTATAAAAATTGGAATTATTATAGAGTGAATCACTTATACACTTCTTTTCCTTTTGCTTGAGCTATTCTACATATGTTCTCGTTTTGCTGACCTACTTCTTTTAATTTACATACTTTATGAATAAGAAGATTTGTTGTTTTAATTTTTCGTATAATGCATTATCTAGAACAAAGCGAAAGAAGCATCTCAACTTCCTTTCTGATCGATATTTTTCATTATCCTCATGTATAAATATGTAACGTTTTTCAAAAGACAAAAAACGTAATATATTTCGCATTTACAAAATTTAATGTATTTGTAGCTATGGAAATGGTACACAATTCTCAATATGAAAGCGATATATCAGATGAGAAAGTAGTGGCAGAAGATCATGCAATAAATGGAAATAAAAGAACCCTTAAAAACCAAAAATCAAAATATTTCAATTGATGAAAACGAATATTTTGTTGTCTCATACAAGACATTATATAATGATGGAGAATATGAAAATGTAAAAGATTATGGTGGAAGTAAATTTTGGAATCTTTATTTTGTATGGTCTTGTGTTCAAAATCCCATCTATATTACAAAATACACATGCTTATGGTACTTATTAATTATCCATGTTGTCTCTTTTTTAGCAACTGAAACATGGTTACGCATAACTGCGTCGTCATTTTTTTGCAATCACGTCTCATCAGGTGATTGCAGTTACGGGGTAACTGCGTCGCAATTCGATCATAATTGAAAACAATGGTAATATGGCAGTTTTCGAGTATCAGCTATTGAAAGACAACTAATTTGATTAAAACATTTTATCGATTTGATTTAGTAATACGATTAAGTGAAGAAATAAAAGATTTTCAATTTTTCTTCAAGTCTTCAAATAAGTATCCAAAAAAGGATGTGTGGATATGGCTATTCGTTTGAAATATTCTAAATCACTATCAGCAGCAAAGGCAGTACCAATCGATAAGAAAGGATAAAGAGATAGACCAGCAAAAGGATAAATCTACTTTACTAATGCAATAATTCGATTTTCATTTTCTTTTCAATTATCCTTAAATATTTTCTTATTTACTATGTGGTTATTTGATCTATTTAAATTTATTTCATGCTGATAAGATTTATTTTTCTACAGTTAATTTTTTTACTGATTTAAATGAAAATATTTCACTGCTACCTATATTTAATAAATTGAACATGCTATACTCAATTACTGTCGATTTTAGTACTGACCATTTCATCTATTTTAGTGACCAATTCAATGATGATGATAAAATATAAAGAAACTGAGATATTACTTTATAGTTTGTTTTCGAATATATTTTTATCATTTTGGATTTTTTTTTCAAAACTTTTTTTTTCATATATTTCATTGTCTTAATACCTTTCGAAATAATCTTTGTGAACCACCACCAGCTGATGATGGAAAATAAATATAGACATCATGATTTTCAGCTGATACAGGTTTTTCTACATATGGTTTATGAAATATTTCACCATCAATTTCAATTTGATCATCTTGTTCGTTAACAACAGACAATGTTTTCCATGTTCCATCTAGTAAAAGAAAATTTTATCATAGAAATAAATCAATCATAATTAAATATTTATTTACCAGCATCCATAGTTCGTCTAATTATACCATAACGTGGTTGTGCTATTCCAGCATCTTTAAGTATTTCATGTACTTTAATACGATCCATAATATCCCATTGTTTGTCAAGATCATTAATAAGAAATGGTTCATTAAGACGTGCATATTGTTGTGTTTTAGCTAATGGAAAACCTTTACTATGAAAACTAATCAAAACATGACAAAATGGCCAATCTTCAATAGGGCTTTCATGTATCATTGTTTCAGAAAAAACAATTATACGAATAAATTCAAATTGTTCTAAACGATGTAAAATTTCTTCCATGGGTTTTGCTTTGACTTTTTTCCATTGCGCACATATACCAACAGTTATTGAACGACGATCCTCCTTAAGAGAAAAAAAAAATGTTGACTTTGTCATCATAAGTAAATAAATATGATTACCTCAGTGTCTTCGAAGTCTTCAAATATACCATCATTTTCATCGCCATTTAAAGACTCATCACCATATTCATCTTGTCTTATATAAGAACTATGCTCACTCATTTCTTTATTATTAATATTATTATTTTTATTATTAATCCATCAAAGAAAAAAAACCACTATCAAGATTCATTAATAACTTACTCGGTCAATTAGTAAAATACTCTAACTGTGTATTGGTGCCCTTAGAAACCTATACGTATATTATTAACGCCCTCTGTCATTGTTTTATATCTGAGTCACTAGATGTTGGATTAGATATATCAGGTTCATGACATGTTAACTGTATATGTGGAGAACCTGTTAAACTAAATTTAATTGATTGTTTTGCATCACCGATATCGTCACCGCATGAACATTGGCAATTAAGTTTATATTCAGGTGCTACAACCTAAATGAGAGAATACGTCGAAATTGATTTTTGTAATTGGATAAAACTTATTCAAGTATAAAAAAAAGAAATTATTTTTTCAATATGTCTGAACAGCTGATAGTGAGAAAATCATGAAATTCAGTCATTTTTGTAATGAAATTTGACTAATTAACGCTATAAAAATGTCAGGTATAATTTAAATATGAATTTATCATTTGTTAAACTTTAGATTTTGAGTCTTGATGCTTATCTACTTTTGAAGATTCAAACATCGTATTCAACAGACATAGAATCGATTGACATTTTCTTGAAACCAAAGGAGTAATGTAACGATGACGATTCACCAGTCTTACGTATAGCTTTGGGTGCATTGGTCTAAACACATATGTATAGACGAATGATAAAGGCATGTTAAAAGTATAGTGGTCTTGGATTGATTTCGATTCTTTCAGTTGAAGAAACCATTTCAAGAAAACAGCTGAATTTATTAAAAATAGACAAAATGTTTTCGGAGTTCAGGAATGTGAGTTAATAGGAATTTTGTCAAAATTTTCTATTTTCTCGTTCGACAATATCTTACTTCTCATGCTTTAGTCATACTTGATGTAATTCAGCTACTTTTTCAAAATAGACCTCCCACAACCGAAAAAGTCACAATGAATCTAAGATTCTTGTAGTTTTATCATGTGCTCACAATTTTCATTGTCATTCTCTGTGTGGATGCGTAGATTAACGCAGCACTCTATTAAAGACTGATGCAATAGTCTATGATGGCATCGATCATCATCGTCATCGTTGCATGTGTAAACTAGGTCGAAAAGATCAAGTTTTTAAAAAGTTCGCATCGATCGAATTTCGATTTGGTTCTATATGAAATCGAGCCGATGCTGTCGAGTTTTCTAGGAAACGTTTGAAACAAGCTGAAAGAAAATTACACATTAGATTTTAGATAAACAGTAAATTCAAAATGCCTGATTTTTTTAAAAACAATAATCAATTGCAATGTGACTAAAGAAATCATATTCTGAAAAACTTTAATTTATCAAAATAATTATAATTGACTATGTGTAATTATTACTAGAAAAAATAACTGAGCTAGATTTAATACTAAGTATTGTTCAAAGTATATCGAAGATTTATTATTCAATATTTTGTGTCAAATGAAAATAGATTACTTGACAAGTTAAAGAAGTTTCATTAGATATTAAATTCACTTACCATCTCATATAGATCTCGTAACACATTGATACCTTGAAAATCAGAATTGGGTATTTTTTTTGTCGTATCACAACAACAATTACAATCAAGAAATTCTAATCGAAATTTATCTTTAATATAGACATGTGATTGGGCTGATTCACAAGTTGATTTTTCTTGATTGATATTCGAATTATTTATAGGTCCATTGCCACTGATTGACGACATACTACTGCTATTAGTTTTTGTACTATTTGATGAATTATGAATATCATTACGGCTAACATTTGAACCCATATAATATGAACAATAAAGAATGAACAATGATACAATTATCAAAGAAAATATTCTATGAGAAAACTGATAAAGGCGCTAGAGAGAAATATCAATATAAAAATTAATGAAAAAAAAAAAACATTTTAAAGGTTATTATCAGATAATAAAAAATATTCAGATTTCGAAGATAAATATTCATTTAACTCTGTTAACAATTCTTTTTCTCGTCGTCGTCGTCGAGATACTATTAATTTTACTGTTGAAGTTATATCTTTATTGTTTGTATTTGATGAGTCATCATTAATATGTCGTACATCGATTACTTGAGATGAAGATGCCGATCGTCTACTAGTCATACTTAAGATAACTAAAAGAATTATAATACCTATCGTAATAGCTCCAAATGCAACATATCGTAACCGTCGCCATAAAAGATCACGTTCTTGAGTTTTACGAAAGTTAGTAATACCTATCAATACAAGACTTTTTTTGAACAATTTTATCAAAACAGAAGCAAATTTTCTATCATCGATATTGTACTACTGTTTATTACAAACAAAGCTATTGATTTATCTTAAACTATTTTGCTTACTCAATACCTGTAATCCAAGGTATAAATCTCTGATGCTGATAAGTCGCGAATTGATCGATGCCGATTACGTTGATATTTTGCATGCATATGCCGAATTTCACACTAAGAAAGCATTGAACAGGATATGGTTTTATGCAACTTCACTTTTTTTTAGATATGAATGCTTTTTATTGGTAGAGTAGTGAACTAAAGTCTTCACCTCAGAAAATCTCAGACATTCTAAATGCTAGAGGCCTGGAAATTTTTGTGCACTTACTTTGTCAAAAGTGCGTGTAGGTCAGAAACATAACTCTACTTTTATTGTTTAAGTAGAAAGCGAATTATAGTAGATGACAATGGATGGCATATATATCGCCTTTGAACTTCATAATTCCGGAAAAGATAAGCTTTCTAGCTCAGCTAATGGCTCATTATACAACGTTGTATCCCAACTATTCAGGCAACTAATGTCATTGAAGTTCATCAACTTTCTCTAGTAGTGTAGATTTTTTACTATGACTAATGATTTGAAGAAAATTCGCCTGATATCCTCCTGTTGAAAGGAGACTGAAGTCATCAGGTTACACTAATAATTTCAAATGCTTATCGCAGCAGATTCTTCATAATATCGGAACCTCAACTGTTTCTCTCTAATTAACATGTAAAGTCTGACTATATCGAAATTCTCAGAAAATTTTACCAAATACAAGATTTTCATTTTTGCTAAGCATTTCTTCTGATCGAAAATGTAATTCATCAAGTTGTTCACGTCTTAAACTTGCATATTCAAGTGCCTGTCGAAGATCATTATCCGTTCGATCAACGATTTTATGCATAGCGTCTAAATCTTGTTGACTTTTTTGTACATTTGTATGATTATCAAGTTCTACAGCTGATTTAACATTCGATAAAGATGATACTTTTTTAATTGATGAATTATTTTTTTCTTTTAATTTTGAACTTATTAAAATTTTATGATTTGGATTATTTACAATAATTGGTGCTGATCGACTAGATTTTAATGATAATTCACTAAATATTTTTCTTCCAAAATTATTCAACATTTTCTTCATATACAAAAAGATCTAATAAAGTTTTTTTAGTTAAACAAAATTATTATTTTTATTGATTGAGGATAATCTATATAGATACAAAGCGCGTAATCTATTCGATAGTTTGATGTCTTCATTTTTTTTTTATTTCTTAAATATATATTCAATAGACTATCTATTTTTGAGCAGTACGAAATGACCATTGATAACGTAATCGTTGTCGTGATCGTAATCGAAAATGGCAACATAACGTTTCAATAATAGCTTGACGAAAATTACGTGAACTATAAACATATAAAAAAGGATTTAATAATGAATTTGCATAACCAAACCAAAATATGATACATTGAAGTCCACTTGGAAATTTATTTGGATAAATTATTGATGTTGGATAAGATATTGTAAATGGAAGCCAACAAATAAGAAAAACAGCAAGTAAAATACCTAAGAAAAAAAAACAAAGCAAGAATATTTTCTAATTTAATTATTCTAGACAATGAAATACTTTTAAAAATTTAAACGTATTAAGGACTCTTTTATATATACTGTAGTTTCACGAGGTAAAGGTTATACAATTGTTTAATTGCTTCTTTTATTAAATTTAATGGGTTATGAGTCATTGACTATGCTGATTAAAAATATCAATACAAAACCAACAGCTAGAACTTTAGAGACTCGTTTTTTGGAAAAACTAATTTTTCCTAGCAAAAAAAATTTTCGATCAAAAACTGTATTGACGCATCAAGAAAATAGAGCATGTCAAGTTTTGCATTAAGACATTATTTTTTTCCGTTTGAGAATTATTAATGAGACCATCAAAAACACAATTCTTTGTTTTTCCCTTTTGATTTTGACAGGAAACAGATTGCCTTCCTTTTTTTCTCGTTTTTTGCAAGGAAATGTGTTTGAAAAATAAGTGTCACCTGCATTTAGAGCCACTGTGAATGGTCAAATACACCTCTCACATCAAACTCGCTAGATTTGGTGAAAAAGTACTTAGACAGCTAGAGATTTTCTCTTGTCAGCTTGGAGAGAATGACATACATTTATTAAGAGAAAGCGTATGAAATTGCAAAATTTTTGAATCAAATAATGAATAATAAACATTATTTGCACTTTGTGTATTACGAAAACGAGCAACTATTTAGTGCACACTGCATGTTACGATAGATATGTATTGAAAAAAAGTCATTTACTCATATACGCTTTGTTGTAAAGGCATAGCATTAAATGAGTAGTAGTATTGTTCAATTGTTGGAAATTCTGTTGTTTCTAAACTTTCCTGGAATCGATCAAAAACGGAAAAAAGTAGTGTTTTAAAGGTGTTCAACAATCTGAACTGATTCAAAAAAAAAGAATTTCGCTTGGAAAAACTGATTTTCCAAAAAGTGGATCTCGGGAGTTCTAATTGCCGGTTTCATATTAATATTCAGAATCAGCATACTTGGTTACTTATAAAGCACTAGATTTGACGAAAGCCAGAGATTAAAATGTTACAGACTTTCCCTCATTAATATGACGTTTATCTCCAAGAAAATTTTCAGACGGTTTTTGAATTTCTTCAATCATCATGATTAAATCGAAATTATGACAAAACTCATGTCATACAAGTCAATAATTGAATACATTTATATTGAAGACATAATGGCAATAAAACTTTTCTTATTTATTGTCAAAGGAGTTCTTCTTTGCACATCATGCATGTTCTAAAAAACGCAAAACTCGTTCTTAATAGACAATACTTAATTTCGATTTTCTATAATTAAATAAAAACTTGAAATATACTTTTTTTTTTTTACTCATACCCAGCATTCGACTTGCTTTTTGATTCCGCCGTAAACATGCTTTACGTCTTTCATGCATAAATTGTGCTATAGCACGTTGACTATAACGACTTGAATTACATGGTTTTGATAAACATAATGGTTGAGTACGATGATTTAAACGACGATGTTCGTCATCCACAGTATTATCAAATGATGAATCGTGCCTTGAGATATCTGTTGCTATAAAACTACCATTACCATTACCATGACATTCAATGGATGATGGCGAATATGATTGACTACATTCTTTTGGTAAAGAATGTGTACGTGAATTTTCATATTGATGATCATTGATAATATTTTTATGCTGATCTTCAATAATTGCTTTTGTTATTATTGTTTGTGTAGGAATTGAATGTTGATAATAATAACATGATTCATAGCGAATAGCTGGTAATGATAATCTATAAGTATTCATATATGCTTGAACTAATTGTTGTTTTTTCTCTTGATTGATGATTAGATCATTTTTTAATCTATTATCTTCAATCATATCATTGAAACAACGTTTTTGTCCTTTGAATGTTGCTGTTGTTGATGATGATGATGATGATGATATTTTTGGTACTATTAAATTTGATGTTATTCCTTGACTAACTATAGTTGATCGTCTTTTTTGATTTGTATTATGACGATATTCATTCGAATTTTGTCGACTTTTTGTTACATCATGTATAATAATTGTTTTTTCATTAGGTGGTATAGATTTTTTTCTAATTAAATTTTTTGTTCGATTTCGTTGAAAATATTTGCAAAAACGAGTATGTATTGATGAAAGTGTTGTTATTGTTGCTGTTGTTGTTGTATTACTACTTTTATCAATACGAGCAGAACCATCAAAATGTGATGTTGCCGTTATAGTAGATGATTTAAAATTATGACTGGATGAATTTAAATTCATTGTACCGTAATTATCTTTGATCTATAGAAAACAATAACATTTAAGATTTATATTTTAATTTTAATTTTCTACCGAAATTACTAATTAATAAATTAGATCAGACTTTTTCTAGAGCTTACTGGTATGTTTTTAAGATAGGATAATAAATTAATTTCATTAAGTATTATTGATGACATTTAGCCATATGTCATTTCTTTTTTTTTAATACTTGAAGATTTTATTTTCATGTCACTCTGTTTTCCGTCGATGTTCTTAATAATACTGACGAAAAGAGGCTATTTTATACCTTTTCGAACATTGAGAAAAATTTTCTAGATCTATTTATATGCTAATATCCAAAAAACAAATGTTGCATATTTAGATATTCAAAATTATTGGAAAAATTCGCTATCTATTAATTTTGGAAAAAATTAAAATTTTTGAAATAGTAATGATAAATATAACATACTATTTTATTGAAAACATGGGAAACAGCTAACGGCAAATCGTATGAATTTTCACAAATAACTGAGCAATTTTGATAATTACTGAGACAGTCTAAAGATTTATAACATCATTTATCTATATAAATGTCAAGGAAATTTTAGAAGATTTGTGAAAGTTGCTAAAAAATCCTAGATATTTTCTTTTGCATAACTAATTACTAAAGTGTCGTAGAAATTACTTTCTCGTATGCTGATAATTGTCGATATTTCCTGTCTCGAAAATCTGCACACTAATGGAAGAGAAAAAAAAAACACATCGAACTAATTTATAAAACATCGACACAATAATTTGAAATAATAATTTTCCTTTATTTTTCTCTAATTTATTTGAAGCAATCCATAAGATCAATTAAACTTACTAATACTTCAATATTTTTTATATTGACTATAATTCTTGAATAACAAGCAAGCATAAATAATAGTGGTATATAATAAAAAAATGTACATAATAGAACAATAATAAATGGGGATGCTGGATGAGCACATGATGGTTTTACTGTACTATAATAATGTGAAATCAATATTGAACCTGGCCATATGGCAAATGGAATAGCCCATGAACTAATTATAAATACTAATACCGATGAATAAGAACGATTACGTAAATGAAAATAAGGTGCTATAAAAAAAAAGTAAAAATAAATAGAATTATTTATAATAAAAAAAAATAAAATACTAGTTAATGCCCAATATCTATCTAAGGCCATAGAAGCAAGTGTAAGAAATGATGCTGTTGAACATGTAAAATCAATTGACATCCATATATAACAAAGATGATAATGAAATGGCCAATGCAAATATAATGAATGCATGGTCATAAGTGGCATCACAAATAGACCAACAAAAAAATCTGCTAGACATAAACTTACAATAAAATAATCGGAATATAATCGAGCACGAAGACGAAATTTTATTGAAATTAGAACTAAACCATTGCCTATAAATATAAATTAAAAAAAAAAACATTATTCCTTTTTTTTTCTATTTGGCCATAACTTTCGACCTAGATTTATTATAAAAAAAAGTTTTTAATTGCAAACCTAATATAGTGAAGATTGTAATTAGGCTACATATGATAAGTATGCTAATTGTTTTAAAAGACCATGTCAATTTATCAAGAGATGTAGTCGAATTTGTGGTAATGGAGGCCATGCATAAATTTATAATAATGAATTTGATGATGTCTTTTTCTTAATTTATCATCATAATTATTATATAAATCTTCAATATTTTATAGGGGTTGTCATATTTACGATAGGACGATGTTGAATGTTAGTTATAGCATATACTGTTTAACTACCAACTGGGATAATAGAAAGAATGATTACAATAAGGGACGGATGTTGACTATTAGTCTATCTAAAAAAAGAAAATAATCTTGCGAAAGTAACATCAAAGATACTAATCCGTTGATGCAAATGACATGTTCAAGTGGAAAAAAGTCAAATGAAAAAGAAATGGTTGAATGAATAGAAACCAAAGAAAAAAGAACACATTAAGGAGATTACGCATTAACATATATATTAAGGCTGAGTTGTGTTTCGTCGATTTATTTTTATTTTCAACAATTTAAAATAATTTTCTAGTCGCTATTTTGAGAAAAAAAACGTCAAGTAGAAAACTTGAAAATGTGTAGATAATAATTAGTAATTTCAATAATTGAGCTTTTTAAAATGATGTAATGAACTAATTTTATGTTTCATAGAAAAAAGAAAAGAAATGAAGCTGAGAAATGTAGTAAAATAGAATTCAATTCTCTCTCAAGATATCGTCAAAGTCTACTCAGTAATAAAATAATGTCTTTCAGATTATTATGAGAATCTGGAAAAAAAACTCATCTATTGCTATTAAATAGACATCCACCTTTTCTATTTAGCATTGGTAATGGATTAAAATTGATCATGTTTTTCTTTATTTTTGACGTCATCGATTCTTAATGTTTGTCATCATCCTATCGAAAATCTACCTGTCATAGATCATTAGTGGATAGAATTGATTTTTGAACGATAAGGAAAAAAAAACCACTTAGCATTTTCTTTTTATGCTCTATAAGAATGGAACATCCAATTAATAATGTATGTATATAATCTACGTGTTACCTTAATATCAACTTTCGAATGTCAATAGGATAATTTTTCTTCCTTAATTTCTTTTCGTAGATAGACGAGTATGTTAATGTGACTTATTGACAGCATGTCTATGTTTGCTGCTCTTATATCTCTTCTATAAATCAGTTATAGAAAAATAGGTCAGTATTAGCCCAATTTTCATCAGAAATAAATTTTTACTTTTCGAAGGAAATGCAATAGAATAAGTAAATCAACATTGAGTTTACAAAAGAAAAACAAATTTGTCAATAGTTTCGTACGAAAGGTAAACTGTAAGTAATTCAAGTTCTTAAAAGTATTTATGAAGTTCAGACAGAAAAAAGATAGTCAAGAGTAATAATGAATGCGTCATGAAAATCGTCTATTTAACAATAGCAACATTTGATGAATATAAAAATAAGAAAGTACTGTAGAGATTTTGAGTATACAATGAGTAAAATAAAAATGCAAAAAACAGAACTAAAGAAAACTAATTGTTTATGCTTGTCTGAAACCCAGATCGGAAGTGATGTTAATTATAAAAATGATAATAAAAAATCTGCATTAACGATTTCATTGAGTCATCGTGCTGTTACGTATTTTGAAAAACATGACACATATATAGATAGATGAAGTTAACTAAAAAATAACTAGTTTAAAAATGATGATGATCATTATTTATAAAAGACTGAATAAGATATTGTTTTCAGCAAAATATACCTATGAATGTTCTTCTTTATTCATGTATTCTATTTTGTAAAGTAAAATATGTTATAAATCACTATGTGAAGACTTGTTTTCATAATTTGTTTTTTCTTATTCTTACGTGTAATATATATTCTTATTAAAACCATATATTGCTGGTTTTGTCATTTGTATTTGATGTTTTCGATTGCCTGTTAATCAATGGAGGAGTGTTGTGTAAATTGAACTAATTTTAGTGAAGGACAATTGTCTTTAGTCATCTGTATGTATGTGTTTATGTTAAGAATGGATGTTTGTGCATTTCTCTAGTTTGCTAGCAAATAATAATGATTGACAAAAATGACAAAATATGACTGAGAGAAAGAATGATGTATCGAGTGCGATTGACGTCAATGCTCATTCTATTATCTGAACCGATTGCTACTTGACCATCTAATATTTCACATCATTTCATTTATTTCTTATTTATTTTAGATAATTTTCAGAGAAAATGTAAGATTGTAGGTGATCAAGTCGATTATTTATGATTCATTATCTTGTTAGTGTGATATAATGAATGACAAAATGTGATATAACTTTCCAAAAGTGCAGAAAATAACTATAAAATATAGTATTATCACTATTACTAAAAGTATATTTTCAAATATATCAATAATAAAATACATTGTGCTTGCCACACTACTAACAATAAAAAGAGAAGATAATAGAAAAAGCTACAAACATGACATCAATCTATCTGTTTATATGATTAAAACGAACCGTTAGACGTGTATTTCTATTCTATAGTTAATTGCATGAAACGTGACTTTATGCATGAAGTCACATATTTGCGTCTAATATCCTGCATGTCATTAAGATGCTACTTACCTGTATACGAAGATTCTATCAACTGAAAATTTTGTGGAATATCATTTCATATCGAAATCATAAAGTTCAAAAAAAGACTTATATTAACAATTTTTCATTTGCTATTTAATTAAAAATTATGAATATGAAGGTCAAAATAGGGTCAAAAAGGTATATATATTCAAGCATAAAATCTATGCTATTTGTTGTTTTCATACAAGTCGTGTAAGAATTAAGCATATTTTAAATATGTGCATGATAGAGTTCAATGAAACTACTCACTGTAAAAATAATTTACTATCATCATCTATTATTACACATGATTATCCATCTTTGATCATATAGAAAAGATATAAATTCTCTTTTCAATGAATACATTTCAGGTAGTAATAAATTCTTATTTGAACTTTGTATAGTTTATATGACTGCTGATATGCATCATAAATGTGACTCGTTTTGAAAATTATCACAAAGATACTCTTAAAGTGAGAAAATTCTTGAAAACTTAGAATTTATTTCTTCAAGAGATAGAAGAAGAAATAAAGAAAACAACGATAAAGTATCTTTGTTTTATTAATCATTGAGATAAAGTTTTGTTGAATATCAATTTGAAAATAGATACAAAAACATACATAAATTTAATGTAAGAGTTGATTTATGCAATTTGAAATAGCATAATGGTTTTGTATAAGACTATGTTTTCTAATCATAACTACAAGCAAATGGTACAAGTGATGAATAACTATCAATTATAATACTGTTTATTGCCCTCATTATACTATTTGAGTACTATATGGATGAATATCTTAGACATATTCTCGCAGATCTAGATAAGGTGGAAAATGATCCTAAGCTAGCAGTAAGTACAGCTCTCTCGTTCTACTATGTAAATGGTATGGTTGCATCAACTCAAAGAGGTGATTTTGCTGCTACGGCTTGCATCGTCAATAGTGCTCTCGAGTGTAACAATAAACAAGGTTACAGTAATCAATTCATTCGAGTAGAAACCTACAAATGTGTCCATCAATATTTCAACCTCGGACACCCCTCCATCAGTTCAGCCTGCTAGACTCTCTCTTTCTCTGTTCCGTTGCTTTCTTCTATTTTAAAGACATGGTATCAGCTTAAAAAACTTCTCAAGTTAAACTAACACTTGTGTTTTCTTCATTCTATGTGAGTCGTTTGTGCTAATTATTCAATCACTTTTTCTTTTTTTTCCAACTACTACTACTACGCTTGATTTTTTGTTTTCTATCTTTCTTTTTTAATTTTTTACACTTTTGCTGCTTTTCTTGTTTATTCATTTTCTTCTTTAATTGATAAAAGAAAGAATGAATGCAAACGTACCTTGTTAACCACTATTTCTGATAACAGCAACCACATCGCTCAACTGATTTTTCAATGGTACTGTGAATTTTCTGTTGATATACAAACAATAAAGAATTTCAAAGATCTTTATCATTATTACAATTTCAAGGGAAAGTACTGATCATTTTTGGAAAGTAATCTCATTAAAACAAAAACCATTCGAAAACTAGATGACATTTCGGTTTTATTCGATCGCAAAATACAGTGCGAAGTTTCTACTATCCATTATAGAAAATGTCAATATGTTATGAAAAACGAATAGCTATTTCTACGACTAATCATGCAATGCTTTGTCACAAGAGATATTTACAGTTCACTGCAACGAAATTCTTTCCTATCACTCTTATCGCAAACTCAAATTATTTACGTCTCGGCCATTTCGCTGATCAAAAATGCAGATGTAATTCAAAAAATAGACATGGTCAATACAAGAACTATATTAACGGATATCAACTTGTTTCTATAGAACGTTTTCAATTTTTTGTTTAATAATCTATTATCAGCTATCTATATACATCTGTGAGAAATAAAATGAGCTTATCGATTGTATCGGCACCTACTTGTTATGTTGTCTTCATTTAAATTATTTCGAAAGATGACCAACAACGAAGTTCCACAAATTTGTGTTTCTCAAGCGCAATTTGTAAGAAAAAAGGACGTCCTCTTAAAGACCGGAAAGAAATTATATCGATTTCATCTCGATACTTTCACCTCGTGTTTGAATAATCATTTTTTGACTTTCCATTCTCAAGATCTTTGTGACACATTAATTTACTCTTTTTTTAACGTTAACACTAATTTTGATTCAACTGATAATTAATAACTAAATGAATTAGATGAACAATTATAGAATGAAGAATATTTCCTAGTAGCATCGCATTTGTGTCATCATAGAATTGACCTGAGATGCCTAGTTTGAATTTGAATACAAACGAGAAAAGTTTGGGAAGAATCATCAGATCGTTTTTTTTCAGCTCGAAGAAATCATCAGGGAATCTGATTTAGATCTTCTCTAGAGACAAACTGTATTTAAACAATTTCTGCTTCAATGGATAGTGATGAAGGAACAAAAGTATCACTTTATGGTCGTTTTTCTAATAACTGACGAAGGCAGTCTCAGTGGTATTTGAAGTTGAGAAGTCGAAATTTTCTGTTTCAAGAAATTTTCGGATCTGAATACTTTGTCAGGTATTCTGACTCAAAGAAAAGAATGATTTAATGTACATTTTTCCGGTCGAATATCCTGACTGAAATACTTTGAAACTGCTTATGAATATGCATTACTCATCTCGGATCAGCTTTATTGAAAATTTATTAGAAATCCTCATGTTTTCAAAATAAACATTGACTAATCGAAAAAAACCAACTCAAAAACTTTGATTTATGCATATATTTCAGATCTGGATTTCTCATTGTGAAAAGACACTTTAATGTCACCACATATAAGAGCCCATACATCTTTTCAATTAAATTTCAATAAAGTTCGCATGATGGATCCTTTTATAGCATAGATTTATCACAGATCCAAACACGTTAGTGAAAATCTATATGAATTAAACCAATGACCAACGGTGAGAATTTCTTCGAGCTTCGATAGTTGGTTATTAGTGAATAGCTATCGAAATCTAATTATCGGATCCATTAATGATTCTGTAGCTCGATTTCTGATTAAATCCTGTCGAATAATCGAATCCCACGAGATCCGATCACATCTATTCACCTGTAAATGTTCTTTCGTACGATATGAATATATTTTAAAAAGATACGATTGACTTTTATGTAAAAAGAGAACATATTTCATATATAATTTTATGATAATAAACAATCCATTTTAAATGAATATATAAAAAAGAAGAAGGAAAAGTCATATAATCTAGATTAGTTATCGTGTTCAAATAAAGCAGTTTACAATTTTAGTGTGCAGGTTTTTTTTTGAGAAAAGTCAATCTTTTGTGTCAGGATGACTATGATGAAACAACGTAGGCAGACATTGCACATCGTTGAAACTTTGCGTTCCAAACTTCTTCAATCAGATAGTGCTTGGTACCAACAATCATATTGTAGAAAGCCGCATTTGAAAGTTGATGACGAATACCAAACAACCCCTGATTAAAATTACACAATCAATTACATTGATAATTGATCTATATAGTGGATATAATCTAAACAATCTGTGCTGCAGTTTGTTTCAAATATTACAACGAAAATATTCATTAATGACAGAAAAATCAATCTCATCTTGAAGAACACACATCTTTATTCAATGTTGACTTCGTAAAAGTTCTCGACAAATGAAGCATTATTTCCGCAGACTTTCACTCCCTTTGCAGTGAAAACAATTAACAGATTATTCCCTTTTGATTCGTATATATTGACCGTTCAAGCGTAGAAAAAACTAGTCTGAGTACAAATGTAGGAGAGAATACATATAATTAATAGTTTTCAGCTTGAACATGTCCAAAAGTGTGACACTTGATACTTTCTCAGAATCAACAACCAAATGAGAATATATTTGAAATTGATTTGAAGAAAAGGATGAGCATGAATAACATCAGAAATCGGTCTACTAACTATTATTCGATCTGACATTCTGGAACATATAACAGGATAGATCACAACAGAGGTCCAACCAGGCCACTAGACCTGCCTGCCTGTGACAGGCACAGGCCACGTTTTTTAGGCCTGGCCTGTCTGTGACAGGCCAGGCAGGCCGCTTGGCCTGTCTATATCCTTTATATATATAATCTTCTTTTCGATATAATTTTTTTAAACAAATTCAAGGTGGTGCTAGTAATCAGTGGAACTATGGAATAATGTTCTATCTTTATTCTGATTGATCGAAATGATGACTAATGATCAGCTCAAATCGCGTAGTTCATCTTTTTTATCTATTCACTCTTTATGTTCTCATTTATCTATAGTTTTTTATTATTATTGATTGCTGTTAAAATCTTTCTTATCGACTATTCTTCAGATATTGTTTTCGATATTAGTAACCTCGGCCGCGATCGAGAGATCATTTTCCGATGCCGGGTTACCTATAACTGAACGTCGATCTTCTCTCGATGCTCAAACTTTAAGGGGCTCCCCCCCCACCCCTGAGAAAATCGATTTTGAGATAAGC